TTGTAGGAGGACTATTCCTTAAAAGAAATTTAGTTGTTAATTAATCACATTATCCACAATGCTTTTAGCATTCAACTCAAAAAGTTCACTGAGTTGGACCCAAGCTTGTGAACCCATTTCATAGATGCCAGCGGGCCTAGAGCTTCCCCTACATTAAAAGTTGTAATAGGAGAAAACCACTCAGTCTGCGCTGTAATAAATCGACCCTCATCATCTCAAATGCAAGATCCTATACCTACCTTGTCATCAGTAAAGTATGCATCAATGTTGCATTTGAGACGACCAGCCGACAGTTTTCTCCATTTGACTTCCAGAGGCCTTTGAGATTGATTGTTATTACTAGAACGAATGGTTTAAGCATTCCTCCAACATGTTAACAAAAGAGTAGCTCGAGTACAAACAGTATCCGCAGAGTTTTCTATTTGATTCCAGATTTAATTATTTCTACATTTCCATATACTCCACAAGTTGGTCGAGAATAATGCTTGTTGATCTTGATTTGCAACCTGCAAAAAAGAAAATGATATTGTAGAAAAAAGAGGAGTTAGCCTTCATCAGTTGCTGCAACATGGTCCACATGCCTACTTTTTCCCAACATTCAATACTCTTTGAACAAAGCAACATTCAATACTCTTTGAACAAAGAAGAAACAAGTGTTTAGCATCTTCCATAGTTTCGCTGCAAATTCCGCAAAAAGGAAAATATTGGACACCTTTATCAATTAAACGCATTCAGACATGCACATAATTTCTACATAAACGCTTGAGGAAATTTTTAACCTACGGAGGGGCCTTGATTTTCTAAAGAAGGTCCCACTTCTCACTAATCCTAAGGTGAGAGGTATCAATAGCCTCTTTAATATAATAACGATAAGCGATGTAGACTGAAAATATTCCATTTATTTCAAACCTCCACAGACGTTTATCCTCATGAACTGCTTCGTACAAAGGCGTATTAAGAACCTTAGTCGCTTCAACCTCCCTGATAAGAATATTAAACAAGTTTGAGCTTCACGGCTTGATGTCTCTATTCAATAGATCAGAAATTTTGAGATTATCTACAATCGAATTAGGTAGATAAAGATTGGTCAATGAGGTATTATCAGACAACCAATTTTGACCCCAAACTGGAATATTTTCTCACTAGCCAATACTCCACTTATACCCGCTCCGAACCACAAACTTAGAACGCCAAATACTCCTCCACGCATAACTAGGATTAAGATCGCTGACGGAATCAAGAAAATCACACTTGGGAAAATACTTTGCTTGAAGAGATGGGAGACCAAGTTACCTGGAGTTACTACGAAATTACAAGCTTGTTTACTAAGCATAGTATAATTAAAAGCGCTCAGATTTTTAAATCTCATGCCTCCATCAAACTTGGACATAGATAAACGGTCCCAAGATAGTCAATGAATACCTTTGGCTTGATTGCGATTATGCCCCCGCAAAAAGAAATTCAACATTTTCTCAATTTCATCAACTAAGGATGATGGCAATAAAAATACACTCATGGCATAAGCCATAGTAGAATGGAGAAGTAATATAATAAGCGTCTCCCTTCCAGCTTAAGAAACACTCCTACTACTCCAAGATTTTTTTTCCAAATTCTATCTTTTATGTACTTGAAAGTAGCTTTTTTACTCCTTCTAATCATGGATGGTAGGCCCAGATACTTGCTTGTACCCAAAACTTGTTGGACTCCCAAAATATTTTCTACATGATTCTTAATAATAGGAGAAACATTCCTACTACACAAGAATTCTGATTTTTGTTAATTGATGGCTTGAATCGAAGCTTCTTCATAAATAGCAAGAATATTTTTCAGAGTATGTGCTTCATTAGTTTCTTATCTAAAGAACATAAAATAATCTTCAACAAAAAGAAGTTGATATAAGATCAGAGCATTCTTATAAATTTGAATGATGTGAATATCCCCCTTTGATTCTGCTTGTTTGATCAGAGTTGAAAGTCCTTCTGAACACAAGATGAATAAATATGGAGACAATGGATCTCCCTGTCTCAAACCACGACCCAGAGCAATTGTACGTACAATATTACCGTTCAACACTATAGAGTAGTCTACTGTCTCCACATAAATCATAATCCAATTAACCACTTATGACTAAAGCCCATATGAAAGAGAACGTCCTTGAGGTAATCCCAATCAATTCTATCATAAGCCTTACTAATATAAAACTTAAGAGCCACAATACCGATTTTACCTCTTGTTTTAGCCTTCATGAAATGAGCCACCTCTATAGCTGCCATATCATTATCAAGAATAGATCTTCCGAGAACAAAGGTTAATTTATTATAAAAAATGAATTTGTCAAGGACTTTCTTGAGTCGATTGGCTAGAACTTTCATTTTCGCTTTGTAAAGGACATTGCAAAGAATAATCAGTCTCCAATCATTCATAGAAGTCTGACTATCTTCTTTTGTGATAAGTGAGATATTAGTCATTTTAAGACTTGGAGGAAAAACACCATCTCCAACCAAGAACAACTAGCGTTTAAGACTTCCGCCCCACATAAATCCCATATTTGGTGATAAAAGCCTTGACAACGAAAGCGTAATCAAATTCCACTATAAGCTTATTCCACCATTTTTCTTTTGTTATCTCAATTGATCTCAAAACACCACAAAATTAAGACAAAAGTGAATTATCCCACATTTAAGGCTCATCAGAAGCCGATAAGAACAAATCATCATTGTCTCTGAAGATACATCCACACCATGTAGAAGAAGTACTATATGTAGGTGTTCCATCAATATTGCACTTAATATATCCCAAATAAGGAGGACACTAAATCACTTCCTTTTTTGAAATGTTGTCAGTACATTGACAATGATCACATTTTATGATATTGGTATACGTCTTTCAAGATTCTAGGCCAGTAGAATCCAACTTAGAGTACTTTAGATATGGTTTTCGAAGAGCTTGCATGACCTCCCTAGACATATGAGTGAGAGTGAAACATTATGTTTTCCATTCCCTCCTCAGAAATGCATCTTCGAAAAATTCCATCAACTCATCTCTGGAAAAAGCAGAGGGTTCATCCTAGTAATAATACTTCAACTTTGAAAAGAATTTCTTCTTTCATTGATATTGGTAGTTTAAATCGAGGGGTAATACTTCTCCGATTAGACAATTTACAAAATTGTCATACCATATTGCTTCCTTTTAAACCAAGAAAAATAGTTGATCGTCTGGAAAAGACTCATCAAGTGGTAGCTTAACCCTTTTGATTTCATTGAGTCTCGAAAGATGGCTTACTACCTTATTTTAGGTTCCTTTCTTATTTGGTATTTCTAAGGCATAATCTTGGAGAAGTAGTATCCAACATATTAACCTCGACTTTGCATTCTTTTTACTCAAGATGTATTATATGGTTGCATGATCTGTGTATAATATAATTCTCAATCCTATTAGGTATGATTTAAATTTATCAATAACAAATACTACAACTAATAATTCCTTCTATGTTGTTGCATAAATCATCTGAATTTCATCCAAGGTTATACTGACATAATATATGGAATGGACCTTTTTGTCTTTTCTTTGTCCCTATATAACACATGTCGAGAAATTACTAGTATCCCACATGATCTCAAAAGGAATAATTCAATTTGGAGGTTGCATAATTGAGGTCGGGATAATCACTTCTTTTAGTATGTGGAAATATTTAAGGCATAGTTCAACAAATATAAATGTTGTATCTACTATAAGCATTCTTGTTTGAGATTTAGATAATTTTGAGAAATCTTTGATGAACCGAGAGTAGAATCCCACATGTCCAAGGAAGCTTTTTACTGAGGTAAAGTGGATTAAATTTTCTATTACATGGATTTTCTCCTTATCCACATCAATACCTCTTTTGAACACTAGGTGTCTAATTATTATTTATTCCTTAACGATAAAATGACATTTATTTAATACTAAGTTCACTTTCACACACCTCTCAAGTACCTTTTCTAGGTTGGACGAATAACTATTAAAACTCGAACTGTATACGAAAAAATCTCCTATAAAACTTCCATGATATCTTCTAAAAAACTCTAAAAAGATGGACAACATACAATGCTTAAAAGTTGTCTGCACATTAAACAATCCAAAGGGAATTCGCTGATATGATAGGTGTCATAGGGACACGTAAATGTTGTTTTTTTCTTGGTCGCTAGGATGAATAGAGATATAGAAAAATCCCGAATAACCATCCAAATAACTGAAATATGATTGCTTAGCTAGTCGTTCCAACATTTGGTCAATGAAGCGAATGAGAATATTATCTTTACGAGTAGTTTTTTTTTAATTTTCTATAGTTTATGCACACTATCTATCATATGATTGTCCTGGTTATGGCTACTTCATCTTTGTCATCCTTAATAATTGTAATTCTTGATTTCTTTGGCACTACTTGTACTAGATTAGCCCGTTTATTGTCGGAGATTAGACCAATTACCCCAACGTCTAGCAACTCCTTCTTTACCACTTCTTTCATATTAGGATTCAATCTCCTATGATGCTCTATAAAGAGTTTGTAATCCTCTTCTAGTAGTATATTGTACTTATTCCTTTTATGTCATCAGTAGTGTACCCAATTTTCTTAAGGATACCTCTTCATGACAACAAGAAATTTTACAGTCTCATTACTGTGTAGCTTTGTGTTTATAATGACAAGATGAGTAAAGTTGTATCCTAGAAATTCATACCTAAGGTTTAGTGGTAAGGGTTTTAGCTCTATTTTTATAGTTTCTCGTTGTGTTAATGTCAACCTTTTGTTTTTAGTATTTCAAAGATTTTATTTTGAATAGTAGTAATTTCATCCAATAATCTATTGTATTCCCCAGCTTCCTCATTTTTACTCTCTTGGACAAGATAATTTGGCATCATGAGAAGAATGGAAGGTACTCTGTGAGATCTGCCTATCAATGTCTTAGTATTGCCAAGAATAATTTGCAGCCTGGCCCCTCAGCTGGCACGATGGATAAGTTATGGAAAAGATTCTTTGGAGATCTGCTACGAGGATTCTTCCTACTAAGTCAAATCTTCAAAAGAAGGGGGTGAGTGTGGATGGTAATTGTGTCTTCTGCCAATTTTTCCATGAGTCCTCAGACCATCTCTTTCTACAATGTCGGTTTGCGAAACAAGTATGGTTTTCATCTCCACTTGGCTGTTGTATTCCTCCTTTTGTGAATATTCTTGACTGGTTGGAAACATGTTTGAATGGTGAAGATAACTTTTGTGTCCAATTATCGTGTTATATCCCCTGGAAGATTTGGAAAGCTCGCAACAAACTCTTGTTCGAACAATTGTTGCTTCATTCAGGTTAATGCTGGATGTTTTTAAGATGATTGGTATGCGTTTGGCTGCGTCATTAGAAATGCCAGCAATGGAGTTTTGTTATCTGCTTGCACAAGAACAAGAGGAAGGGTGGAGTCGAGTTTGGCCAAACTGTTGGCAATCAAATGGTGTCTCAGGATTGCGAAGGACCTGCATCTTGATTGTATCAGCATTCATTCTGACGCCCTGTTACGTCCAGCAGTCTGATTCTCTTGTACTCTGATTCCGGTGATCTTTCTGCATCTAAACTCGTTGTTGTTTCTCGTTGATTTGAATTCATGTGTTTCGTCAAAAAAAACTTTGGGGTTCGTTTGAAAATCACATTTCGAACTTTGGTTATTATTAACACCTCCACTCATTCATAATGGGAAATCAAAACAATTAAATACTTTAACAAAAAAATCTGGTGCCATGCATCTTAAGCCATTATACTAGCAGTAATACAGCATACGAAGCAGGGATAGCTATAGCAAATTAAATGTTTATACTAATAGTAATAGCAAAATTTGGAATTTTGTGGTCCAATTGACTTGGATTTCAAGGAATACCCATTTACTTGGTCAAATGGAAGGCAGGAGAGCGAGAATGTTCAGTGTCGTTTCGACAGGGATTTAGGAAATGAATGCTTCATTAACAAATTCTCTATAATTAAGGTTTTTCATCTCCCAACGTTTTGAATTTGATCATGCTGCTATGAGTATTATTTTGGAGGAAATTATAAGGAAAATAAGGAGGAAGCGAATTCATATATTTAGATTCGAAGAAGTTTGGTCAAAGGATTCAAAATGTGAGAATATTGTGGGACAAGTGTGGAATGATCATACAAATAGAGGGTACAATAAATTGAAGGTTATGAAAAGAATCAAAGACTCTTTTAAGGAATATAAAATAGCTGCAGTGTCTCAAGAAATCAAGAAAATTGAAAACTTATTCGGTGGAGGATAGGGAATGGAGAAAAGGTGGGGATTTTAACTCCCTGAGAATGTTGGCTTCAAGACCCTCAATCCAAGACGTATTCTTAATCGCTATTGATAATGATTTGGACATTTAGAAAAAGGACCTGATTCAAGATTGTTTTGATTCGGAGGAAGCTAGACAAACTCTCAATATTCCCATCTCCCTAAAGAAAACAAGTTAATTTGGCATATTGTTTTGATCCGGGGGAAGCTAGACAAACTCTCAATTTTCCCATCTCCCTAAGGCAAACAAGTTAATTTGGCATAGTGAGACGAACGACGAGTACTCAGTTAGGTCAACATACCACGTCAGCATTCATGATAAACTGGCAAAGAAGCAATGGGCCCTCTTGTACTCCTCATCAAAAGCTTTGGAAGAAAGTTTGGTACTCTCCCCTTCATACTAGAATTCAAAACTTTTTGTGGAGGCTAGCAAAGAACATTTTGCCTACAAAGGTGAACCTCCTTAAAAGAGGAATTAGGTTAGATATGTTGGAAGCAATTCATATTCACAAGATGTTGTTATTCAGAAGCAGCAGAGCTTCTGAGATTGTTAGCCATAAGTTGTAAGCTTCTGAGACTGCTTAGTTAAAAGCAGTAGTTTGATGTAACCAGAAGTTGTTATTAATCAGAAGCAGAAGCTTCTGAGGTTATGCTCAGAAGTATGCTTAGCTTTTGGAGTTCTAGATTATGAGTTTGTTAGCGTAGCTGTTAAGTTTAGTATTTTCTAGTTTATACCTTTTAACTTAGTCATTAAATTTACTTTTGTTAGGGCCTACGTGACAATTTACTTTGTGTATAAATAGACTAGTGGTAGTTGTCATTTATAACCATCCAATCATTCCTTTGTAATCTTTCTAGTCGTCATTACTGTAAATATATTATCTCTTACCTTTCTTTCATTTATTAACCTTATGCATTAAAAATTGGTATCAGAGCTCCGCTTGGATTCACGTGAAACAATAGTGAAATGGTGAGGCGTTGTATGATTGATTTTGGTTCTTGAATTCGTGTTGAATCTTGAACAAAATCTGAACAGAATCACATTTTTCTAATTTTGTAGGATTGGGAAATACTATATTTGTGAGATCTGAGTGTTTTGTACAAGATTGAAGATGACCGAAAACGGTAGTCTAAGCACCAAGCTTCCAGTATTTAATGACAAAAACTAGAATCCTTGGATGAATCATATGCATGTGGTGTTCGGTGCTCAAGATGTTTTTGAGCTTTTTACTGAAGGTTATGTTCCAGTTGCAGAAAACACAACGAAAGAACAGAGAAATGCGCAAAGATACAAGAAAGAAAAATCAGAAGGCGTTGTTCTTCATCCATTGGTGTGTGGATGAGAACGTGTTTGAGAAAATTAATGATTCAACGACGGTGAAGGATGCATGGGACACACTGAGTAGGTGTTATGGTGGTGACACATCAGTGAAGAAGGTGAAACTTCAGTCTCTCAGAAAGCAGTATGAGAATCTCAACATGAAGGACAACGAGAAGGTTTCTGAGTACATCTCTAGAGTGATTATGATCACTAATGAGATGAAAGCTTATGGAGAAACCCTTTATGAACAAGTAATCATAGAGAAGGTATTGAGGTTGCTTACTACTCAATTTGATTACATTGTTGTAGCAACATTCTAATGATCTGGACACCATGAGAATGGAAGAGCTGCAAAGCAATCTACAGGTGCAAGAGTTGCATCTGACTGAAAAAACTTGAGAGGAAATTTGAGCAGGCTCTGAAAGCTTCTTTTGTCAAGAAGAATCAAAAGCTGAAAAAACATGGTAGGTCCCAGAAGTCAGAAGTCTTCTATTCTGATGAGAAGAAACATCATAAGGGAAAGGAGAAGTATGACAAGAGAATGGTTCAATGTTACTGTTGTAATAGGTTTGACCATTTTTCTAAAGATTGTTGGTCAAACAAAGAAGAAGCCAAAATAGTCAGAGGAGATTCTGATGATGAACCTGTGCTATTAATGGCTTACGAATCTGATGAGGAACCTATGAAATTGTCATTTTCTGATTCTGAAGGGGAAAAATATGACTAAGAATATTCTAACTCTAAAGGAGTGTTTGAATATAAGTCATAATCAGAATATGACGCTGAAGATTCTGAAAATGAGTCAGAACCTGAGATTTCTGAAGATGAGTCAGAGTTAGAAGATAACTCTACAGCTGGAGACGAGTCAAAATCCGAAGATGATTTTGAGTCTGAAGAAGAATCAGAAGATGAGTTGGAATCTGAAGAATATTATGCTTATGAAGATGAGTCAAAACTTGAAAGTTATGAAGAAGAGCTAGAGTCAGAAGATGATGACTCTGGAAACTCTAAAGATGAGTCAGATGGTGAATATGATTCTGATCCTGATTTTGATGATGATCCAGAATCTGGTGGTGATCATGCTTCTAGAAGGGAGAACTCTGAAAATATAGGTTCTTGAGGAAAAGCTTCTAAAGATAAACCTTCTGAAGGAGGAGCTTCTAAAGGAAATCCAGCCTCTAACGAAGGACATGATTCTAAAGGTGGAACTTCTGAAGGTAGAACTTCTGAAGGCAGAGCTTCTGAAGGTGATCCAACTTTTGAAGATGGTTTTTCTGAAGGTAGTGGTTCTGAACGAGGTCCAGAAGCTAACAAAGGTGGAGCTTCTGGTGCTAGTAAAACTTCTGAAGAAAGTCCAAAAGGAGATATTGTTCTAGAATCAGAAGGAGATTTTGAACAAGTTCAGAGGCCAAATAGATTCAGAAGTATACCAAGGAGTTTTGCAGAGTTTGACAAGTTGCAAGATACTGAGAGAGACTCTGGGGTATAGAGTGTTACTCCCTTATGGTGTTAGATCAAATGCAGAGCTGATATACTATTCAAACTATGATTTGTAACAGAAGAAATACTTCTAGATATTTTTGTTTATATATGGAAAGTCCTATTTCTTTGTGCTCTAAGAAGAAATCAGTGGTTGTGTTGTCAACTTGTGAAGCTCTCAAGAAGAAAGTGAGGCTATGAAAAAAGAGCTTGATGATTTTGAAAGAAACGAGACTGGGGAGTTAACTGAGCTTCTGAAGGAGAAGAAAAACATCAGCGGTATGGATTCTCAAGGAGAAATCAGCATTTCTACATGGAGTATTAAAAGTTGCACACTATAGCAACTATAAGCAACTTGTAAATGTTCTGACGAAGGATGTCAAGACTGAACACTTTATGCTTTGAGGGATGGAGTTGGTGTTGAAGAGTTTTGGTTAGCTGAGTATGAATTAAGGGATGGTGTTAGAAGTAATTCATATTTAAAAGATGTTGTTATTCAGAATCATTAGAGCTTATGAGGTTGTTAGACAGAAGTTGTAAGCTTTTGAGACTGCTTAGGTAGAAGCAGTAGTTTGATGTAATCAGAAGTTGTTATTAATCAGAAGTAGAAGCTTTTGAGGTTACGTCCAGAAGTACGCTTACTTTGTGTATAAGTATGCTAGTGGTAGCTGTCACTTATAACCTTCCAATCATTCCTTTGTAAGCTTTCTAGTTGTTATTACAGTAAATATATTCTCTCTTATCTTTCCTTCATTTATTAACCTTGTGCACTAACAAGATACTCTTTGTCTCTTATGTCATTATGCTCTGAAATCAATGCAATATCTGTTTTTGCAGTGTGATTTTGCAAAACAAACTTTATTCTCTTCTATGTTAGGTTATACAATCTCGGGCGACTTGAATATAAATGACTGGTTGTTGAGCTGATTAGCCTGCGAGAATGTTTTCAGTTCTCAACTGTTGTGTACTATGCTGTGAAAAATATGAAATGCTCACAACTTAATTATATACCAACAAAAATAACTGAGCCCAAAATTGGTGGCGAGAGAGGCGCTCGATCATATGTTAGAATTTAACAAATGGAATCTGAGGCTTTGTGTGAAGAAGAAGATGATTCAGAACAAAGACTTTGAACCTACTCTCAAAGACGTGTTAGTGGTGCAGGTAGATGCTGGAGTTTCCTAAGAAGGTTTTGTGTCTTTTGGATGTGTTATTAAGAACAATGCTAAGA